TGATGATTTTTCCTTCTATTGTGAATAACCTTTACAGACTAGAGCTCTCTGTTTTTATGGGTCACAAGAAACAGCTTTACTCTTACAAGGCAGCTTACAAAAAGTAAATAGTAGACTTTTGATTGCATTTTGGTATAGCCTGTAACCATGAATGGGAATGTAAGCTGGTCTACTCTTAGAGGTTGATGGCTGCCACTCATAAGTGTCGAATATCTTAGGAGTTGCTTTGCAGACAAAAGCAAGTGCAATATTGGAGATTAGACAGAGCCATGTTACACTAGGTAGGTTTATCCAGAGCAGCAGCTAAAATGACTACCAGGAAAACTTATCCTGAAGATACAAGTGACAAGTTAAATGTATTCCATGACACACCCAAACTGTAGCTTCCATATCTCATGCCCACATTCTCTCAGGGAGCACAGCTCAAAGAATCTCTTCTTTATGCCGTGCATACATCATAGCAGTCATGACTGTGGGCATGTACTAAAAGACTTGGTCCACCCAGGGAGCAGAGCTCATAAGGTAAAACAGGGGCATTATGGATCTTTACTTCAGCTATCATAAAGTAAAGGGACACCACACAAGAAGCAGTTTATTACAGATGTTTCTAGCACGTTCAACAACCAACATGAAATATTTTGACTTAAGAATACACAGAAGAAACATCATGTAGAAATCAAGGCAGAAGGATATGATTTGGCCAAGTTCAGACTCTCCATTATTTGACTGGAAGGGGGGTATAGAGGGGTGGAAATCAACCTTTTTTCTTTTTTAAAGCTAAGAGTCGCATGCAAGTCATACCCTATGGCTCTTGATTTATTCTCTCTACACTGCTTTCCCTCCTTATGGTTCCAACTCCTTCCCCTTGGACTTTCAGATGCTTTATGTTAGGAAGGAAAGAGAACATGTAAAAATGCTAAGTTATATAAACACTTAACTTTAGAACAGACTAAATAAAGACAGTCACTTACGGCCATTATGCAGTTGTTGACAGAAAAAGTCTTCTGGATTCTGAATATGGGAAACTATGCCAGAAAACCTATCTCCAACAGATAATGTGATAGCCTTTATGGTTAAATGATTGTTGTGATCCAGCCTTTTATTTTCAGCCATTATGCCTTCATTTCCTTCAGAATCTGTTTCTAACAGGGTACCTAAAAATAACGGAAACAAGACAAGAGATTGTATTTTTCTCTTCTCAGCAAATATTCTAATATTATCACATTCTGTATAACAATGCCCGATATTTTAAAACAGCAGCTGAAACCAGAAGGCAGCCAAACTCTGCACCACCACATTATGATACATAGGGAAAAATGCCACCCCTCAAATCTCAATGTTAAACAAAAATGTAAAGTAAACTGCTTACTCACTTTTCTCTGAATGCATTTGTTCATTGTTGCTCCTCTTTGGACTCAAGTCAGATCTCATTTCAAGAAGTATGTTACCTAGGCGTTTCCCTAAAATACAAACTGGTAAGCTAAAACTAGTTTGCCATAAAGCAACAACATGCTAAAGTTCTGTTTTTAAACTAGGTTACTTCAGTAAGCTGGTGCTTAGAACATGTCTAATTTTACCTGTTGGTTAATTGCCTAGCATGCATAGCCTAGGCCAAAAAAGCCCCCTGGGAGGTTCAAGGTGGTTTGACAATTCTTTCTACAAGACGTCCATCTCAAAAATGGTTGTTGCCTTGCTCTTTTCACTTAACCAAATATTGACATTGACAGGCATACTCAATTTCAGTTTTTCAGAGAAATTCAGCATTTTTCCTCTACAGAAAAAGCCTTGCTTACAGCACCAGAGTACAGATTAATTTGAATTCAAACTTATAATTTATTTCAACTCTTAAGAAGTTAAAGACCAAATCCTTCCTGGTTGGTAACATCTGTGCATCTTTCTTTTTCTTTTAAATATAAGAAGTAACAGTTCAAGATTTTCAATCTGAAGGAAGTGGGACATAATTAAAGGTAAGTGATTGTATAAAACAGTTACCCATGCGTGTAACTGAGAGAGATGATACACACCCACTCCATCACAGTTCACCAGATGTGTACACACAAATCAACAGTTCTCTCTAGTAGCACCTACCAGAACAGTGCATACAAATTATCTGTCGCCTGCTTCCAAAAGAGGCAAAGAAAGGTAGAGCTGCCCTAATCTCTCCAACCTGTTAATACATGATGGTAGCAGAATGCAGAAGGCAGAGGAAAGGTGGTGGTTTATGAAACAAGTTTGTACAACACACCTCAGAAAGAAGTGACAAAAACAAATTAATACATGTTAAATGATTGCACATTTTTTGCAATGCAAACCACTTCCAAGCTGTGAGTTTTGGTGTTGGGTTTACAAGTCTATTTTAATTAGGAAAACAATCCTCATGTCAACATTTGCCCTGAATGCAATGATGATAGCCTATGACTGACCAGGGAGCCAGCAAACAGGGGCTGCAATTTGCAGGTAAGCAATTTGCAGGCAGCTGCTGGGGGCAAGAGGAAGAAGGGGGAGAAAAGCCACATCTGGAGTCCTGTGTTCAGTCTTGGGCCCCCACTACAGAAAGGATGTGGACAAATTGGAGAGAGTCCAGCAGAGGGCTAAAAAAAAAAACCTTAGGGGGTGGGGGGACATGACTTTTGAGGAGACTGAGGGTACTTATTTAGTCTAGAGGACAGGAGACCAAGAAGGGACTATACAGCAGCCTTCAACTACCTGAAAGGGGTTCAAAAGAAGATGAAACTAGACTATTCTCAGTGGTGGCAGGTGACAGAACAAGGAGCAATGGTCTCAAGTTACAGCAAGGGAAGTTTAGGTTAGATATTAGGAAGAATTTTCTCACTAAGAGGGTGGTGAAGCACTGGAACAGGTTACCCAGAGGAGGTGGAAGCTCCAGCCTTGGAGGTTTTCAAAACCTGGCTAGACAAAGCTTTGGCTGGGATGATCTGGTTGGGGGTGGTCCTGCTTTGAGAGCAGGGGGTTGGATTAGATGAGCTCCTGAGGTCCCTTCCAACCCTAACTTTCTATGATTCTATTTCAGATTTGAGGCACCCACCATAACGTATGAATTGACCCTATTTCAAAAACTAGTTTATTTCTTGTAGAGCTTACCTGCTTGAAGAAGGGCTGGGAAGGAGGAGTAGCAGCCGGCAGGGAAAACACTGCAGGCAGTGGGGGAAAGACGAGCAGCTGGAAGGAAAGAGTCTCAGCAGAGTCCGCATTTATCTATGTTTTTTCCCAGTGGTACCCTTCAAAGCTGTTGCAACACCCTGGTTAAGAATCACTGCGATAGCCTAGTAACTTGGAAAAAGTGTACACATGGAAGACCCACATGCTGCTCAACATGTTGTCAGGAACACCAAAGTAACTTGGGCCCTGACAGAATGAGCCAATAGTTTGAAGACAGTTAGAGAGAGGAAAAAAAAAAAAAAAGAGTCTCTGTGTGAATAATGCTTTACACCCTTTTTATTCCCTGTACAGGACATGGAAAAGCTAGGCAACACTCCTCTCTGTACAGAAAAAAGGACTCAGCATTTGAAAGCACTGAAGGTTCTCGTCACCTGTATCTATATACAAAAAGCTTAGAAAAGACAGTAGGTGGGTTTAGTCTTAAAGGCTGTCTCCGCATTATACCTTAAGTGGAATTTGAGCTAAGGCCTCCCTGGGACACTGCATCTATGAACAGGACAGTACGTGGGCCCTTCCATAACGATCTCGTTTATCCTCTCTCCACATTGAGAGCTACAAAACAGGCTCAACTGTGTGCCATCAGTACAAACAGGATGCCATCAAAACTGTCAGTATGAGATTTAGATTCCAAGAAAGAACTGGATCTTTTATTGCTGAATAGTATCCAATCCTACTCGTATAAAGCTGAGCAGGAAGGGATCTTAAAGAGGTCTTCTACTCCAAAATTCTGCTCAAAACAGCATTGTGTCCAAGTCACCCCACTTTATTTCCAATTACTGCATTTTATTTCCGATGATTATTTCATAACCTCTCTAGATAACACACCTTAACCGCCCCTCTATCCACCCCTAAATCTTCCTTGCTGCAATTTAAATCCATTACTACTTGTCCTGTCCAAAGTCAAGATAGAAATCAATTTACAAAATACCTACCCAGGCAGCAGCATAGGGACTCCTAAAAGCAGACACTGGGACTGAGCTCTTCTTGCACCCCTTTCAGGCAGCACCTGCCTCACAAGCATAGTCTTCTAAATCAGTTACTAATTTAGGTTAAGATTCACCAGTCTAGGTCAGCTGTTCTGGAAGCACAAACTGGCTAGTGGTCTCCTGCTACCTCATGCTGCATTACATTGCCAAGTCATTCAAAAAAGTGTATCATTTTCTTTGGAAGTCTTTAGTGTTTTCAGTTATATTAAAGAAGTTCTTTCTCCAAAACTCTTAAATTGGAATTAAAGTTACTGACTCATATTCTTAAAGATATATATTATGGATGTTGTCTTTATTATCCCAAAACCACATTATAATAAATTCAAAGCTATGTGTACACTTAAAAAATATAAACCAGTAATGATACATACTGCAGCCAAAAGAATCTTAACTCATATTGCAGTAAGCCACAAGAGGGGGAAAATATGAAAAAAAAATCTCATGAGTCTTTGAGAAACAATTTAATGAAGAAAAAAAACCAACCAAATAGAACACTAAAATGCCTTATCTACAGCCACACTTACTAACTATAGCTTAACACTTCTACAGGACAGTTGCAATTTAGGTGCCTTTAGCACGCCTGAAAAAGTTCCTCAAACAAGTATGAAAAAATAATTGAAAGGGAGAATACAAGAAGCAATCCCAAACTGTAGGTCCGTATACAGCAAATGGCTTAAAACAAGTACTACGGGTATGGACAGACATTGGTTTCTAGTGCTAGAGTATCTCAGCACTTTGTAGCACTACAAAAATATGGCGCTATGGGGGCTCATCGGTGTCCCACCCCAGCTGAAAAGCTACAAAGTTACCTCAAAAACAAGCTCCCCAGCCAGGGGGCAAAAGGGAGCTGCTCTTTTGGAGGGGGGCCTCAGTCACTGACAGCTTACTTTGTCACCTGCTGAGAAAGTTTGTCAGTACAGAACCCCCAGCTGCCCGGCTCTGCCAATGAGATTTGCAGCCTCTGTGTTCAGCAGAGCTAGAAAGAGATGAACATTCATCAATTCCAGATAAAACAAAAAGTACTTCCTTGAAGGATTTGTTTATGAAGAGTTCAGATGCTGTCTTTCATATGACTAAAAATTGTGGGCACGTCCAGATGAGTGCAGCCGTGCAGTATGTGGCACTGCAAACACGTCTGCAGCACCACATACCACACACTGAGGTGTTCTCCATGCTGCAAGGGTGCGCTGCTCTGGTTTCAACCCCACCCCCCGTGGGTTTTTTGGATACCCAGGGGTCAAAAAAACAAAACAAAACAAAACGCCAAAAACCAATCAGTGGGAAAAGAAGCAAAAAACCCAGAGCAATGCATGCACAGACAGGGCACGCTGCTGAAAAGTGGAGCTGGGCCGCCTGGAGCTGTGCTGCGGCTAAGTGGCAGAATTGCCGCAGCTGCAGCCCCCAGGTAAGGCCACCCCCAGGTACCTTGCCTACCACCCCCAGGGTAACTTGGCACATGCCAAAGCGCACATAGCACAGGCGTTCCCTGGAGACAAGTAGCTGTGGTGCAAGGTGCACTGCTGCTACTGTCCCTGGGGAACCAGGTGTCCACATTCATCTGGATGCACCCTATGAAACCTAAAGTATTTTAGGACCTGCTCTTTCCAGTTAGAATTCCAACATTTATAGCTAGAATACAAAACCCCTAGAAGTAGAAGTGTGAGGTGCATGTCATTAGGAGGAGGATAGTATAACACCTAAGTATCATAACTGATCTTTGTAGACCTGCATTTATTCCTAAATAACCAAATTCATCTTACCAGAACTTGGGATGACAACATCTACAGCAAAACAAGTCATCATCTCTTCCTGTAGAACATCAGCAATAGCAACTGAACAGTGCTCTCCCATAAAGGGGGTGATAATGCTGGTGAAGTCTTTGTTCCAGCTTCCTTCTTTTGGAACATTAGCAACAGAACACTTAATGGCCTGAAAGAGATAACTGTAAGTTACATTCTTCAACAGAAAACAAAAGATAACTTTGCGGTGAAAAATGCGGCCAACCCCTGCACTAGGATATATATTTACCCTACGTTAACTGTGGCTGTCCCTGGTGTGGTCTGTGGTTCTGCTCCTGATGCCTATGCACCACATGTGCACAAGGTCAGATTCTTTTAAGCCAGAAGTTTTTGTTGCTTCTGTTACTATACAAGTCTTCATCCCCTACTACTACACTAGACTGAACAGAGCACATGTGTCCAGAGGCAGAATCTGCTTGGTCTGCTAGGATAATTTATTGCTACTGGAGCCATCAGGTCGCAAATGCCTTACTTTCAAAATGGAAGAGTTTCTCTAAGGCAAAACTATCATACTTTTCTCTGTTGACATACTGGTGTTATGTTGTCTGCTGTCATCTGGACTTTTTTCAGTCCTGATATCATGAAAAGAACTGCTGTGCATGCTAAAGATTCATGGCTGAAATTCTTAGATGAAGCAAGTATTATTTGGAATCCAGATGCCTTAGGTAAGAAAGGGTTCCAGAAGAGCTCTCATTTGAAAGTGGAAAGCCTTCGCACATGGCTACTGGCAAAAACGGTACTCCCTTACACATGTGGATTCTTGAATTAAATAGATCCTGCACTTTTACATATATCTAGAATAAGCTCCTTGAGACACTAAGGGACAAGACAGGCAGCTATGTACCAAATCCCTTTGATTTCAATATTGAAGACACCACTTACACATGCCTGTTAATTTTTGTGAAGAATCGGCTCACTTTTCACACCTCATTAACAGTTGTTAAACTGATACTCAGAGGACCCCTCTCTAAGAAGAATCTGACAAGACTAGTCAATTCAGAACTGTCACTAGCACACCACTGGTAGCAGTTGAGATAGGTCAAATAATACATTACCCACCTAGAATGCAGTTTCCTGACTGCACGCAAGAATAATTTGAGAACTGGGATGTATACAATACTGAGCTCTCTGTCTGCAGTTTAGACTGCATATTTGCCTTTGTAGGTAATCTGGCATGTTGTGAGATCATGTGATCAAGAAGTCTGAGGTACACCCTTATTAACGCTTGAAACAAGAGACTAGGAAAAGGTATGTGACATGACTGGTCCAATGGAGAAGACTCTCTGCCCGGTGAAGCATGTTTGGCTCCAAAGCTTAGAAATTAAATGCAAGATCCCAAATCTCACTGGGTGCTTACAGATGTGTGAACCCCCCTCCCCCACAAAAAGCTCCCAACACTTTACTTTCAGCTTGGTGAGCCCCCGTACCAAGCACAAAGCATGCCCAGAAGAGGAATCGTGTCAGTTTGACCTGGCTCCCCAGCATCTTGCATGCTTCAGTGGGGTTTTTGGCACTTTTACCTAATAGCTGATTGAATTAGAAAGCTCAAAAAGCCCTGCTGAAGCATCCAAGCTATACAGACACTGGGGAGCCAGGTCAAACCAACGTGGTTCCTCTTCCAGTAAAGCACCATTGTGTTTTTTCCATGTCTGTCAACACCCACTATTCCTTTGAAGTCAACAAATTATAACTGAATTACACAGGTAAGAGTTATTCTAACCTACTGCTGGTCCGCACAGGAGAAACTGCCAATCTACTGTCATAAGCTACTCCATTAACTGAGTTGAAGAAGCACTCTAAAGTGCCCCCACATCTCCTGTATCAGCATTCCTGTGCTTAAAAACAGCAGTGGGGATGTTTGAACTAAAGCTTATTCGAGTGCCCCGGCCACCATTTTTAAATACAGGGACAGTGATACACAAGACGTAGGAGGCTGCTGGAGCTCAGCACTTGCCACGCTCCAGTGGACTCAATTAAATCGAGTCTCCTCCGACAAGCTGCAATTTCAGCAAGTCGAAGCAGCCTCGGCACTCATGTATAGACGCCCTTGGTTCTTGACCTTCCTTGTTAGAATCAATGCACTCCCCAGAAAAGGCCAGTTCTTGGCTTTCATTCATTTTTTGGCTACGGAAAAATATAATAGAGCAATTCTTCTGTTGCAAAGAACTCAGAAAGACCATGACAAGTCAAAACGTTTTTGATGCTACGGATTACTACTTGAAATCTTCGGGTTTACCTTATGAATTGTGCAGGTGTGTATGCCACTAACAGAGGTGACAGTGCTAATACTGCACGGCACTCTGGTTGACTGCACCAGGAACACTCCTAACTTACATTTATTTTAAATACCCAAACCAACTTTTGAGAGGAGGTGGGGGAAGGGGGGGAAAAAATACTCACACAGGGAGGAAACAGGTCAATGTCTCTGTGTAGCTGTTTAATCCTAAGTAATGACGCATTTTCTTCATTTCCATAATCAATATACAATACTAGTGCTTTCTTCTGCACAATGTCAACTTCTTTTACCAGTACTCTGTTCCATGTCTAGATATGAATAAATGGCATTTTGGTTGTAAAAGCTGCAACGATGAGCTCAATATACTCTTTAAATATTTCTTCACAGAAAGAATTGTACCAAATACTTTATTTTATACTCATTTTTACTGCTTTCTTACCAATTTTGTTAAAAAAACAAAACAAAACAAAACAAAACAAAAAACCAAACACTCAAAAAAATGCTCACTGCATCAAAATTACCTGGACAAAAGTTCTCTGTAAAAGCTACCAATAGGTGGCTTGGTCCAAAAGTAAAATTCCATCCTTTAGAAGTACTTGCAGTGCTTTTATCTGCTTTTAAGAGACCTAGGGCATTTATAGACATGCTACAGGAGGCATAGTGGGGCACTTTAATTAGCAAGCTGTGCTAATTGAAAGCACCCAAGTGTTACCTGCATCAGTGTCCCTGCACTAAAAATGGTGGTAGGGCACTTTAAACTAGAGCTCATTTGACAAACTTTAGCTTAAAGTGCCCCACCACCATTTTTCAGTGCAGGGACATTGATGCACGTGACACTGAAGGCTGCCGCAGTGCATTAATTTCCACATTCCAGATTAATCAAGTTTGCTCAGAAGCACTGAATTTATAGACCCACAGAGTTATAGAAGCCCCTAGAGTCTGGTAACAAACACTGAAGGAGAAAGGATGGAAGACAGACAAATGGCAAAAATTCTCTCATCCACTACAGAATCACTGTCAAAAAAGTCAGGTCAGGGATCAGATAAGAAATGGAAGAGTCACATTAACCAAAGTTAAAAAATGATGGGATATAAGCCTTATTCAAAAGTTGTCCAATTGTATTAATGTCAGGTAAGTTCACCAAAACTCTAAACAAATCTGGAGCAATTAATAAATTAAAAAAAAAAAAAACAAAAAACAACCTCTCTAGCAATAATCAAGTCAATTTTCTACATAGTTTGAACCCAGACATAGTTAAATACACTTTAAAATGGTCTGTTCCAAATGCAACAATATATTTACTTGATGAAAATGCTGGTATCTTTACATACACATTAGCACAATATACAACACATCCCCACAAAATGTAGTTTTTGAATGAAAACAGGTATTTAGAAACTTACAGTTCTGTCTTCTCTTAAAAGTCTTACCAGGTGCAAAATAAAAAGTGTTACCTGATCCAGGAAATATTTTGCAACACAGACTTCCCCTCGGGCAGGAACATATTCTTCCTCGTTAACTGTATTAGCGTAACAGTCTTTCAGTTTCACAGTAAGCGTTCTAATATGCTCCAAAACTTCCGGAGAATAGACCTGTATATAAAATTCACTTGGATTCCTGAATTCTGTGACTGTTCCCTAAAAAAAAAGAACCATACTAGAGTAGATTATCCAAACTCAGTAAAGAGTAAGATCCATGATAATTATTACTTTTTTTTTAAACAAGTTTAATACAAAGGTATAATGAAATACTGTAAACATTTGCTATCAAATTAGAATTTGTGCTATTTCTAGAATTCTAATGCCAGAAAAGTTCACTTTTGTAATGACAACTTCCCCTACATAGTACTCTATCTGTAGATCCGAATACACTTTGCAAAGATCGGCAAATATCACTAGCCACATTGTATAAGTGAAGAAACTGAGGCACAGAGCTGAAATAAACTGACCTGGCCAGGAAAGGCATTATACTTAGAAGAGATTAACAATTAAGCGTACCAAGATTCTCCCTCCCCTCCCCCCCACTAATATCACCATTTAATATAGACAGCAATAAAAGAAAATACCTGTATTTCCATAGCTTTTTTGAGCGCTAGATCTTGCAGGTCTGAAAACATAATTTTCTTTATATTATCTTCTGTTCTGACAACATCCACAGGAGATAAGTTACCCTATTTAGAAATGACAATTGTTTATTTAATTAGGGTATTCTAAATATTACCCTCTTGTTGCTGTTCAGGGAACAAACTCCTTAAAATAATTTATGGAAAAAAATTTCCACATGCGTTTAAGTTCATTTTCAGGGAGATCCAGCTCATAAAGCACCCAAGTCACTTTTGAAAGTGGAGTTTAGTCACTTTTGAGAATTCCATAAAATAAAACTAAAAAGCAGTTTAGGTATATTATTGCAAAAATGAAAGCATGAACCGAAGAGAAAACCAAAAGAAGGAGCTTTATGGTATAAGTGCTGCCTAGAAACACTTGGAAATGGAAACCAAGTGATTGCCTCAAAATTCAGCTGTATTATCTTCGATACACTTCTAAAGAGGACTGCATTGAAGAAATACCTTAAAATAAACTTTATCCAACAGAAGCTACCCACAAAGCCCCAAACACTAGCTAAATACTTGAACTAACAGGTTAACATACCAATAAAAGGACAGCTATGAGTAATATTTCTAAATTTGGACTTTTGACCTTAGAATTTTTATAATGCAACACCTACAGCATATGATTTTGTTATAAATAGGATCCAGCAAAACTGAAATCCATAGTTTACACTTACAAAAAAACCCTATAGTTTAAATCAGTAGCAGGCACTTAAGAATACTGTTGCCCTAATTCTTGATTTCAGTTTGTTAAATTTCTATCCCCTTTAGTAAATTTTTTAACATACTTTAAAGTATCACTAGGGTAGATCTATTATCTGCAATAAGCTTTTCTAAATGAAATTCAATCAAAGTAACAGTTAACATGTTATACCTTAAAATCAACCTTTTTCTTTATTTCACCAGGTGGCTTGGCATTTTCTTCATTTTTTTTAAAACTGAAATAAAGTATTTGATTGAAGTCACATTAGTATTCAAGAGTCAGTGGGGAAAAGCCAGCTTAGTAAGTTATTTACACAATCCAATTAAAAAGGAAATGCCAACCCTCATCCCTTTCTGAAGAGGAAGCATGCTATTTCTCACTCATGTAGCAGCCAGTTTTCCCCTCTAACTCTTCATGTACACCAGAATCCCAACAAAGACTTCCAAATATGCAAAGTCAAGGCTCCCCCTCCCACAACTATTGTGTAAATGGTTACAGTAATGAACATCAAGTTAACTAACAAGGTAGTTAACATGCTTTAAGAGCTTATTGTAAAGTATGCTTTCCAGGTCCATTTTCAGGACAGGGCTCAATTAGGATAAATTAATGTTTTAATTCATGGGCCACATCTTCTCACTAGGAACTTCAAGTGTGGCAAAGCCATTTCCATTGAAGTCCATAGCAAAAATTCCCATAACGTGAGATTATGTTGCCAAGCAGATTCTCCCCTCTTCCACAAACAACAAAGTTACACAATACAAGCATTAGTTCCTTTTAATGCTATTTGGTAAATGGAAACAAAGATAACATTATGGAGATGTTATGATGGTGGCTGCAAGATCTCTAATTACGTAAAAAAAGGCAGAAAAAAAAATCCTGATCTTCCAAAGTTTCAACTGAAGCTGAAGAGTCATACACTCACTTGTAAATAAAAAAAAGTTTTATGCCTAACCTTTAGGACACAACATGAAGCCCTAAAATGTCATTTCTGTTGACTTTCTGAGCCTTCTCTTACTGGACCCCCCCCCCCAATGCCCCATTTATTTATTTTACAGAACTCATACTTACAATAGAATCAAATTTATATCTGAGACTGAGCAATGCAAGTTATTATTTCAATACAGAGGTTATAGAACTAGGCTTTTCCACTATCAGAAGTCATACACATTTTTTTAATTCTCTTTGAATTACAAGATATTGCCTTAACTTACTTCTTTTTAACTGGCTTGCATACAACAACATGGGATGACCAATCTTTCTTCTGGCAGTCTACAGAGCAATAATACGTCTGTTTACATTGTGAACATCTCAGGGACCCTAAAATAAATTAGGAGTCAGTAGCGTGCCTAACAAACAGATAAACAGGTAACAATCATTATAAAAGGTAACTTTACATGTATGAACAGTCACCTGTTAGATTACTATATAACAAGGAGGCATTTTTAAATTAAGCTTTGTCCAGTTCTTTAAAAGAAAGGGTGCAGATATACACCCAAGTAAATATAAACATGTACCATTACTTTTTTTGCTTTAGCTACTTAGAATTTCATTCCCTCTCTCCAATGAAAAAGCAAGTACTTCAGCAAACAGTGTTAAACTGCCCCTGCTGTGTTACTCTTGGCTTTTCAAAGCAGACTGATTTATTTTATTGACAGTTATGTCTGATGATTCTGTAATCTTCATAATTTTAAAATAAAGTATGTACTACGCCTACTTCAAAGTTAAAATTAAGTGTAAAGTAGGGGTGCACCGATAGACAATTTTACGGTCGATACTGATCACCGATTTTTAAGGATGCATATTGGCTAATACTGAACCAATTTCCAATACCAGCCTGGCAATGTGGAGAGCTACCTCCAGCTGGTAAGTCTGCTGTGGTGGGAGGGGGGAGCAGGAGGCAGGGCCAGATCAAGGCCCCAATGGGGAGATGTGGGGCAGGGGTTGCCCAGCCAGGGCAGGGCACAGGACAGAGCCACAGCTCGGG